CTAGAAATTCTCATCTTTGTTATCGATCTACGAACTTCAAAATTATGTATTTCAGAAAGTAATTTTCTTGTCCGTGCCTCTTCTTTAACATCGAATAGACAGAAAGTTTTGAATTGTTTTGAATAGAAGTATTGTATTCTTGTATGTGAATATCCTGTAAACGACGTCGTAATTGATCTGTAAACATGTCAACTATATTGGCCGCCTGTATCCACTGCCACAAGGGGCCAATATAGACTCCCCTTGCCGCACGGAATCTGCTTGGAGATTAGCTCCCAGACCACACATGATTTGGTAAAATACCCGGAATATCCCGAATGACTCCGCCGTTTTGACTCCCCTCCCCCACCGTCTCTGGCACGCGCGCTATGCCTCTTGGGAATCTGTCGTCACCCAGCTATCATATTTCATAACTCTTACCCTTATCTCTTGGCTTGGAGCAGCATTTAGGTTGTAGGTGGAAGTCAACAGGTTAATGCCTTGGAATTGGCACGAAAAGGACTTTACCACTACTGGCTCAATACAGAAGTGTAGCCACGCATGTGTGTAGATATGTAAATATCATAATTTTGGGAATGCATCTATAACAGCGACACCTGTGCTGCAGTGCAATGTGAACCAGTCAGAATTGCCCTGAGGAAGGTGACAGACGGTCACCGAAACGTCGGCTGAATAAAAAACTTGGTTGTGTAAATAGAGTCTCTTTACTCAGTGTCTTACCAACCTGATGAAACTATTCACGGAGAGTAGAAGTGTAGACGCTGGTCGATTTCGAACCCGGGACACTTGGTTCCGAGTCGAGAACTCTGCCGCTACGCCACACGACCGCAATCGCAAAGAAATCTCCCCTTCCCAAAGCTTTGACCGTACATGTATGGTATGAATCGGCCTTTTGCCGTGGATGACCTAATAATACGCGCCGCGACTGTTAATTAACAAGCGGATACGATGTGCTGTGGGTACTATCCTCCGGTGACAGAGGTTTATCTTCAAACGTTGCCGTCTGTGGACTGTTGGAGACCACGGGAAATCCCTGCTCTTATCAACACTTCGTACGTCTTAAACATAGACATTAACGACGGAAAAAAAAACCTAAGATTTACTGCGTCTTCCGTATCAAGGAAGGTCCCCTGTACAGCATCCATCTTTTAGGACAAGAATGGTCTAATAGTTTTGGCATTTCAACATATTATAAAGAGAACAAGAGTTCCAAGATCTCATACCTCCATGAATCATGGGCTTCATGATGTAAATTTCTTCCTTAATTACGCAAATGAGGAATGCGGAAGTTCTGCTGCAGTACCAAGGTCAGTCACCAGGAGGCCCAAAATCAACCTTGACCTTTGCCTACCCAACACCTACCCACATACCTAATATCATCACAATCCATCCAAAGGTTCAGAAGTTATGCTGGCCGCAATTAATTAAATGTGCGGAAACACAGACACACAGACAGACACACAGACACACAGACAGACACGCCAAAACAATACCTCCATTTTTCATGGAGGTAACAAGGGACTGACTGAATAAATGATTCGATAAATGAATTTAGGATTAACGAGTCCTCATAGATAGAACTTAAACAACTATAAATATGGAGTAACTCTTTAGCAGAAATATAGTTAGCAATTAGGTTGAAATGCTATAGTTTTGTTGGGTACGTATTTACTAGAAGTTTGGGAAATCGGATTGCGTAAAGCTACGGTCACAACCCGTCGTACGTGCTTTTTTTCCGTACGTTTTTTGGGAGGCCACGCCTGCTACGTTTTTTCCGAAAACGTGGGGAAGAAGTGGCGTCGACGCACGTCACTCGCACGTCAATCGCACGTTTGCGCAAGGTGTAAGAGTGTGGTCTGCACGTTACGTCTGGCCGTGAGCGGTTGCGTGCATTGTACGTTGCGCAAGTGGTGAGTTGTACGTGCCTACAACGTGCGATCTCTGTGCGATTGCCACTTTACCGTAAGGAGGCCGTACTCACACGTACTTCTTCCGCACGGCATGTACTGGGCACGCACGTCGCTCGTACTCGCACGCACGGGTGGTGAATCCGCAGACCGCACGCATAAAAAGTTTTACATGCACTTAAAGTTCTACGGCGTGTCTGCGTGCTCCCAAATCCGTAGGATTCCGTACGGAGGTGGTACTCACCACGCACGGATGCCCTACGTTTGCCCACGTTTTTGCACGTAGACAGCACGCAGAAGCACGTACGGTGGGTTGTGACCGTAGCTTAACACAGGCCAAGCTAGACAAAAATGCACCAGATACAAACTTGGTCTTGGTTTAACTTCTGGAAGACAAAACAGCTTTCATTTGACGAGGTCGCTCGTTAAACAGAGATTGCTCAAATTATGGACTCACTTAACATTTAAGTGTCTCACTTAAATGGGCTCAAACGGCTCAATGTAACGTTTGGAATGTTTATTCTTCAGATTACAGTCTTACCGGTTTAACCACATTACGCTAAGGAGGTTCAAATCTCTTAAAGACTCCATGGTAAGGCCACACCAAGTAAATTTTATGGATGACGTCCGCGCGCGCATTGATTTTGGCCTGTTCCTAGAAAAAAAACCCGAGAAATTCCGCTCCCTGTAACAATGACCAAAGAGTCAAGACAGTGCTGCAAATCGTCAGATTGACGTGAAACCCGTAACGCGAAAACAGGACAGGATGACAACTGTTGTTCCACCTGATTTATTGCTGTTTTGATGATGAATAAAAGACTTCTTGCTTGTTACACTGTGTCACCTCATTCAATTTGTGTCCTAACATTTGTCGTCTCTTAGTATATTTCTAATCTAGGCATCTTGTTTTTAGGACCCTTCTTGTTTTTTTTTCGCCCTCTCGCATTAGATTTAGGGTCTCCAAAGGACGTCATCCATGAAATTTACTTGGTGTGGCCTAAGGTTAAGCTGCACAAAGTATTGACTCGAAGGCGAAAATACTTTAAGGCCATGATGATTTGATTGTATGGATGACGTCCACTGGGAACACCAAAACGGATGCGCGCGTGCGAATAAAAACGTTTTGCAAAAAAATTGCCTTCATTTTGAAATCTACGTGGTCATGAAGGTTGAACAAATGACACAGAGTATGGTATGATACATAATCTACTCTTCAAATTCATTTCTTTGCCTTTTTGGTCTTTTTTCGTTTGATTTTGATATTCTAGGACATTGGTATCGTTTTCCGATATATATATTTTTTGCAACTTACGGTATATATTTTCTTATTTTGCAACGGTTTTGTACGATTTACAGTATGGCTGAAAACTCTTTTTTTTTTTTGGAAACGGCCGAAAATTCATGCGCGCGTGGATGTCATCCATATAATCAAATCAACATGGCCTATACAACTGTGAAGACCTGCCCAAAGCGAAGGGCAGAACGTGGCAGGATGGTTTCAGGAAAATTTCAACAATTAAATAGTCCGGCTGTCATTTTCTCTCTCTATTTTTCCAGAATGATCATACCACTCATATCGTTCTTTCTTCATTTCTTCATTTCTTTCTGGTTCATTTCGTTCATTTCTTTCGTTCTTTCTTTCTTTCTGGTTCAGTTTCAGTTTATTACGATACCCTTTAGCCCGTTAGGGCTAATCTTCCAGGACTCATTACACATTACATACACTGTACAAATATATACATATGACTACAAATTTGCATACACGTTGAGGTCACATATCAGACAAGGTACTGATTATAGCTAAAATCACGAGCTTTCTGGTTTTCTCAATTTTCACCTCCCCCAGAGACGAACCCACTGCACTGAGTATTTATCCTCCCCGCTGTACAGATTCTGTCTCAGGACTGGAACAAATTACGGAGAACATTTTTGTTCCGTTTGACGGACAGAGGATTCGGCGGGGTCAGTGGCCTTAGGGTTCTTAGCCTGGCTTCCAGGCTGTTTCCAGGGCCTACATAAGCCAGCACCTCCCCTACATACCCGTCAGGGAATTTTACCACACCAAAGATAGACCATGGGAAACATGGGGGTAGGTTTTATCTGGGTTAAGCTAGGCATAAAGCAGTGAAGTCCCGAAAACTTTTATCCAGGATAAATGGGTTCCGTGACCCGCCGAGGTAACTGCTCTGGTCCCGCCATCTTACATTGATGGTGCTCTTTAGGTTGTGCGCCACCTTGCTAAGGCTGGTGGAACTACATGTACCTCAGAGGATGTGCTAAATCATCCCTTCCTTCCCTGTATCCCGAACACTGTGTTTTATTACCCAACGGTGTAAATCATATGCCGGTTTGGGAGTATGTTACCACACATTCGTTCATTTATTGCCTTCGTCAGGGGGTTATGTTTTCGGTTTGGGCTCGGTGACATGGCTTTGGTGTGGGGTCTGTATGTATGTCAATGTCATAACACTGTAGTTGTGAATGGATGTTATTGCTATTTGGTATGTGGGTAACTGTTGTGGAAACGAAGGTCAAGTTAAAAAATGGTCCACCTGCTTTTTCCAACGGCATTGCAGCTGGCTTTGTATTCGCATTTGGTTATTGTATGTGTTCAGCATAACTCGAGATGCTGTAACCGGTGTAATTTTGGGTCTCCTGAAAGTGTGTTTGGAATTGTAATGGGTGCTTTTGTTTTTAACTTTTGAACCTAATAATTCAAACTGGGGTCGATGAATTTGCATATCTTTACGTAGGTATGTTGGCAGGTACGTAGGTATGCTGACAGGTACGTAGGTATGTTGGCAGGTACGTAGGTATGCTGGCAGGTACGTAGGTATGTTGGCAGGTTCACTAATCCGTACAAGTAAAAAGAATTACGTATTACTGGACAAGACTACACCACCATAGCTAAATAACACTCCTTCACCTGGCGAAGATATGTGATCCTCGAACTCTCGTTTGTTCATTTATTGCCTCCTCTATCATATACTGTATAGATAGTACTTTATAGTATATATGTTGTATTACTGCCACACGTTGTACCATGTACGAGTGTCAAGCAATAAAGTCCATTCATTCATTTTTCTTCTCCAGTATCCCAGCAGACACCACGCGGCTCTACCTGCAGAGTAACAAGATTAAGGAGCTGCGCAGTCGGTCCCTCAGGCATGCGCAGGGCATCTTCCTGCTCAACCTGATGAACAACCAGCTGCACAACGTCGGCATCGAGTCAGAGGCGCTGGAGCAGATGGGCAACCTGCGGGGACTGTACTTATCTGGGAACAAACTCAACTACTTCCCAAGGTACGTACTCACAACAAGCTCAACTACTTGCCAAGGTACGTACTCACACGACTAGAGATGGAACAAGCTCAACTACTTCCCAAGGTACGTACTCACATGGCTACAAGCTCAACTACTTCCCAAGGTACGTACTCACATGGCTACAAACTCAACTACGTCCCAAGGTACGTACTCACATGGCTAGAGATGGGCAACGTGTGAGGCTGTAGCATTCCTGGAAGAACCTCAACTACTTTCTAAGATGACTAGGATGTCAGTGTCCACGTACAATGTTGCTTGACTAAAGACAGTCTAAACTACTACCCTAGGAAGATAGTCGTGTACTTGTGCAGAAACTACATCGAGCAAAAGATATATAGTCCAAAAATGTCTTTTTTTTTATAGCTAGTGTGTTTGTGTCGCAACCTGTATCTGTATCTGTATAGCCGCCGCTCGGCGTAACACACCAGCAACGCAATACCTGACGTATCGTTAACTTTGTGGAAGTTTAACTTGTCTCCTTACTGTTCCTTTCAGATGGAATCTTCCTTACCTGGAGTACCTAGATCTATCGAACAACGACATGCGGGACATCCCCCCGCGCTCCTTGGACAGGTTTCACTACCTGAAGGAACTCTTCTTGAGAAACGTCGGCATCAGCCGGCTGAGCAGAGACTCCCTGTACGGATTGAAGAGTTTGGAGGGAATCCGGTTGGAGTACAACAAGCTGCGGAGTATCCCCACAGACGCGCTCCAGAAAGTCTCCTCCACGCTCAAACGGTTGTGCTTGCGAGGAAATCCCATCGGGAGCCTGGACCGCGATTCCTTTAGGAACCTCATCCGCGTGGAGTATTTGGATATAGGAAATACAGACATCACACATCTAGGCAAGGAGGTGTTTTCGCCTCTGCCGAGGTTGATGACTCTGCTGTTGTCGGGGAACTCCAGACTGAAGTTCCTCGCGCCGGACGCCTTCACGTTAGCGCCGCTGCTGAACTACCTTGCCTTGGACGCCTGTGGATTCGAGACTCTTTCGCCGCGTGTTCTGACGAATATTCCCAAGCTGGACTACATCAGTTTGCAGTACAACCCGTGGACTTGTGACGAGGAGATATGCCGTCTTCGTAGCTGGATGATCGGCACGAAGGCTCGGTTAAGACATCGAAACAAGGTGTACTGTACGGCGCCGGTAGAGTTCCGTGGAGCCAAGATCACCAGTAACAGCTTTAATGAGTTATGTGGGATGGCCCGGCCTAAAACCACCACGGAAAGCGGGTGGAGACCGATGCCGACCACCCCTGCCCCGAAGGTGTGGGCGCCTCCACGATTTCAGCCTACTTTACCAGCTGAACCAACCACCACGACTCTACCAACCACTACGGTCTCACCCACCACAATCATACCAACAACGGCATTGCAAACTACGACACCAGGTACAACCATGGTACCAACAACTACAGCGGTTACAACAACAGCTGTAACTACAACCAGAGCCACCACCACAGTCCGAGCGGCAGGGGCAGAGGCGACTACCCCTAAGACTATCTCGCCGCGTCCTCCACTTTCCATTGGTGAAGACGTTGAGAACCCCATCATCAACAGTAAGGAGGTCGGGGGATACGACATCCCCAACAACCTGAGTCCGCTCAACATCCCGTCCCAGGCGATTGATCCGAAACTGGGCAACGTTGGGAACGAGATTCCCGGAAATGACGCCATCGTGAACTTCCTGCTGACCAATCAGCGGTGCCCTGACATATGCCGATGCGAGTTCGCGTACGTCGACTGCAGTAACGTCGGGCTGGCGGTCGTGCCCAACCACATCCCTCCCCAGACCTTCCGACTGTACCTCGACCACAACGGGCTGGTGAAGATCCCGTCGCAGAAGTTCGCGGGGATGTGGGGTCTGCTGACGCTGGAGCTGCAGTACAACCAGCTGACGAGTGAGGGCATTGTTGACGGGTCCTTTGAGGGGCTGCTGAACCTGAAGTATCTCATCCTGTCCAAAAACCACCTGACGAGAGTTCCCGAGGAGCTTCCTCCTAATCTACAGGTAAGTTCCATGCTCATATCCTTCAACAGCAGGAGACGAATTCTAACCGAGAAGGCAGACAGCTTTTGTTGCCCCGGTACTCTAAGGCCACACCAAGTAAATTTTATGGATGACGTCCACGCGCGCATTGATTTTGGCCTGTTCCTAGAAGAAAAAAACAAGAAATTCCGATTCCTGTAACTATGACCAAAGAGTCACGACAGTGCCGCAAATCGTCAGATTCACGTGAAACCCGTAACGCGAAAACAGGACAGGACGACAACTGCTGTTCCACCTGATTTATTGCTGTTTTGATGATGAATAAAAGACTTCTTGCTTGTTACACTGTGTCACCTCATTCAATTTGTGTCCAAACATTTGTCGTCTCTTAGTATTTTTCTGATCTAGGCCTCTTGTTTTTTAGGACCCTTCTTGTTTTTTTTCGCCCTCTCGCATTAGATTTAGGGTCTCCAAAGGACGTCATCCATAAAATTTACTTGGCGTGGCCTAACCCTGTGGCCTAACCCGTATTGATCATTACTACAAAAGGGTTTATTACTACAATGTGTTTAGCTCCAAAACTACACCGTTTACTTCCAACTCCAGTAATTTCAACTACCCAAAAATCATTTACCATGACCATTAACCTGACACAAGAAATTTTACCTCGCACTTTGACACTACGCTGCAATATCGTACATGTCCGCTAGGAGGCCCTCGAACGTGACCTTCATGATCATTTTTCTGCCACTAACCATGCACTAGATATCATTAACAACCATCCACTGCTTCTCGAGTTTGAAGTACAAAAATATTTAAAAAAAACCTCTGCAGCAACTTAGGAACATGACAGGATAACCATTTTTGAAGTTGGACTGTAAGGTAGATCGGATCACCTGTCCATTGTTCATGCTCATGTGGGTGCTGACATACTTGAGGTATCGTTATACTTCAGTACCTAGCTCTGGACGGGAACCTGATTCGGTCTCTGCCTATGGAAGCGGTGTCGCCAGTGTTCACCAAGGCGCCGCAGCTGTCCTGGGTGGCCCTGCACAACAACCCCTGGACCTGCAACCTGCACGTGTGCGGACTGAGGGGCTTCATGTACTCCAACTCCATTTACGTACCGAACCGGGACCGGCTAACCTGCTCCGCACCCGACCATCTCAACAGGAAACGGTGAGCTAGGTTTTGGACACTGCACTTTGTTCGATTGTTAATATGTTAGGTATAGTAACAACCAGAGAGCAAAGCTTTTAAAAACTTAAAAGCCCGCCATTAGTATCTGAACACTTGTCTGTGTTAATACTAAAGCTGTTGACGCTTGTTTTTTTATATCCAGAACGCAGTTGGACCTAATTATAACTATCTTATTTGTAATAAGTTAATGACAATGATATTATAATGATATGCTTTTGGATCACCTTTTGTTTGCATCGAGTCGTCATGGTGTACTGCTAATAATGGCTGCGTGGCTTCTCTTTCGAAACAGGATAGAATCCATCCTCAACATCTGTGCACCACACCTCCACAACATCCAGCACTACAAGGTTCCCACCACGCAGTCACCGGGCGCACCTGAGGATGGTGAGGAGGATGTGCAGGAGGAGAGGGACACCCGCGGGGAGGTCCCCACCTACCGCCCGCTGGACCTGCGGGAGAACGCCACGGACCTGGCCGCCAACTGCCCGGAGAAGTGTCAGTGTAACCCGTTCGGCCACGTGGACTGCCGTAACCTGGGTCTGACGGCCATCCCTGATGACGTCCCGCACTACGCCACCAACTTCTACCTGGAGGACAACACCATCACCAGAATCCCCGAGAACTCCGTACTCAAACATCTGGACAAGTTGAAGGTAGGGAACTATGCAATCCACTCAAACCTAGATTAACAACAAGAGTTCCACGATCTCATACCTTCGCTAAATCATGTTAACCCTTTTGGCGGACGAATTATACATTTTTACTCACTGATTTTGCAAACAAGCGTCATGACTTAAATAAATTATGTTTAAAGGCATTCACCCTCACTTAACATGCAAATGCGGCAAGTATTAAATTCCCGGCAGTTATCATTATGAAATTATAACAGTTTCCATTATGTATGCAAACTAGGATCTTGAGTAATCCTCCCTCGAAATGTTTTCAACAAACGCTCCTGCAGTTCCAGACAAGCCGCTAGGGAGTCCATACTAAGGTCACTTCTTCAAGAGCAAAAGAGCTATTAACTAACCAAATTTCTTGACCCTAGCATTTCCAGATCACGAGATCTCAAAACCGGAAATTGCACCGCTGTACCATAACAAGCCACCAGGGGCCCCAAAATCTAATAATTTCTAGGTCTCATCAACAACTGGTCACCTACCAAGTTTATGACAATCCTCCCAACGCTTCTTGAGTTATCGTGCTAAACCACATACATACATATACATACATACACACAAACACTGTGTAAAACATAGCCCTCTTGGCGAAGGTACTTACTAATGATCTGACTGTTATAGGTACTGCATCTTCACAACAACTTCCTGACGGGAGACCGTATTGACAAGTCGGCGTTCAGCAGCCTGACGTCCCTGGAGTATCTCCACCTGAACGGGAACTACCTGACCAGGGTGAACCTCCGTCTGCCGGGTCTGCTCAAGTACCTGTATCTCAGCAACAACTTCCTGTCGTTCATCAAGGAAAATGCATTCAAGTAAGTGAACCACGTGTACAGAGTTTACATGTATATCCTTGTGATTTTCGCAGTATATCAAAGGAAGTCAGTGATGTTTTGTTCATATTCTTCTGATGTACTTGCAAATTGCAACATTGCCGCGTCTATGTGGTCATTGTCATCTGGTAAGGATGTGTTTGTGTACATTTTAGTTTATTTTATCCTAAGTATATCAGATTCAGGCAACTTTCAGTAAAACTTCCCTTCATACTGTTTCCTTCTTAAACAAACTATGTTGTAAAATGACATAAAGCCATGCTTGCTAGTGTAGACTTCTACACCAACAGAATGGCGATCTAACGCCAGACAACTTTCCGAAAACCTTCCCTTCACACTTGTTCTTTCTTTGTCCAAATGAACAAGCTATGTTGTAAAAGTACACAACGGAATGGACATCTAACGCCATTTATTATTTTGAACAGAGAGGCTCCTGAACTAGAGCGACTGTACCTTGAGGAAAACCTTTTGTCAGACGACAGCATCAGCGAGGAAGCCTTTAACGGTCTCCACAAGCTTCGCCACCTCATCATGTCCGGGAACAAACTACGGGCCGTTCCGAGGATCCTCCCGGGAAGTTTAGAGGTTCTACAGGTAAAGAAAAATTATATCGTAACAGTGTACTGCAACCGTAGTTAGGCCACAACAAGTAATTTTTATGGATGACATCAGCGCACGCATTAATTTTCATCTAATTTTGGAACAAAAAACAAGAAATTTTGTTGCCTTCTGACAGTGGTCAACATGCTGAAAATGGGCAAAGATGTCTGTTGTCATGCCGGAAGGTGGATGGCAGATAACTATGAAGAGAGGAGACAAGACAAGGCTCTGATTTAATGTTTTGTTTCTTACTTTGATGCAGTGATATGTGATGCTGGCTGTGTATATGTGATGTTCCCACTGGATCAAAACCATTTGTACAATGGTTGAGTCAAAAATTTAAATAGTATGAACCTTGTTTTTTTCGGCCTGCCTTGTTTTTTTCGCCCGCTCGCATTAGATTTGGAGTCTGCGGAGGATGTCATCCATAAAATTTACTTGCTGTGGCCTTATTGCAGAATTTTCAGCTATTTCTTCTCTAGAAAGAAAGAGCAATACCTAATTTAAACAGTCACTTTGATGATGGTTGTTGGCAATGAACAGAATACAGAAGGCAATGGTATGGCCGACTTGATATCATCTACAAAGATATCTAGCATATTGTCATTTTCACTGCTGCCTAGCTGTTTAACATGAAGTCTTGTACTGAAATGTTTGCCCTTCCATGACTGTTAGCTGGACGGTAACCAGATCGGGAGTGTACATTTGGACAGCCTGGCCAACATGAACAACCTGATCAAGCTGTCCATGGCAAACAACCAGATTACAAATGCAGGGCTGCCGGAGTTCCTCTTCAAGGTAAAACATTTAATATGTCCATACAGGCGTTTGTACATTTTGTTTTGTTGATGCATGTCTTTAATCAATTTTTTTTAATAACTAGATGTTTTATTGTGATTCTCAAGGCAGTATCTGCTGCCTTAACATGTCACTACACTACTTCGTGAACATAAATGGATATACATGTAAGAGTATAAATTAGGCTTTAGCTACATAGCTGGTATGCAACTTGGAGGTACTTCAACGTTCGTTTATCTTTTTAATTGAGTAACAATCAAGGCACTGTATTTAATAACACTGTATGAGAAAATATACTGTATAGTCCAGTCGGGAATCATCTGAATAGTTTGAATATTTTGAAAAGGAAATTTTAGAGATCTTATTAATCTGAAAATGTACAATCTGACGAAGCTCTGTCTTTCCCCGGTGGCTATCCAGGACCTGCACAGCCTGCAGCGGCTGCACCTGTCCAACAACACTCTGGAGAAGGTTCCCGACCTGCTGCCTCGGCGGATCAAGTTCCTCTATCTGGACGGTAACCACATCAAGAAGCTGGAGGCTGACCAGTTCACCCGCACCCGCCATCTCATCTGGCTCCACCTACAGGACAACAAGCTGCGCGCCACTAACATCGACCCCTCAGCCTTCCGAGGGTTAAGGCGGATCACCCTCCTCAACCTGTCAAGGAATCAGCTGTACATGGTCCCCAGGGGACTGCCTTCTTCCTTGAAGAACATCTACTTCTCCAACAACAAGATTGTCAACCTTCCGCCTCACACCTTCACGGACCTGCAAGGGCTGATGGGTTTGTATCTGGATCACAACGACTTGGACAACACGGGGATGATCGACGGATCTCTGCACGGTCTCAACAAACTTCTCACCCTGGATCTCTCCTTCAACTACATGACGCACTTCCCTGCCGGGTTGCCCAGGAGTACCAACTATCTGTACTTCCAGAAGAACTACATCAAGGAGATCAGCAAGCGAGCGATCACCGCGGTTCCTAACCTAAGATGGTTGTATCTCCAGAACAACCGGTTAACAGACGACAGCTTGGAGGGAGGCATCTTTACTTACCTACCGGATCTTATGAAGTTGGATCTGTCCGGGAACTACTTGGGACAGGTTCCGAACGACTTGCCGAGAAAACTGGAGTACTTGTATTTGAACGATAATGACATCAAGGTGATTTCTGAAGACGCCTTCAAGAAGACACCCTTCATTCGGGAACTTGAACTTAGCGACAACCCCTTATCAAAGTTCGATATCGCTACAGGGGCTCTGACTCCTCTGAAATTCTTAAGAAGGCTCTACATAGCAGACGACGACGAAAACTCAGAAAACGAAATTGACTACTATGACTATTGACGGAGTACTTCTTATGGTGCTAGTTTTGATGATATCTGAATTCCAAGACTTCGATCCTAGTTTTAAGTTTGGCCAGCAGTCCGGCTGCCGACTGTTGATATGTCCGCTAACTCCAATACTTCATGCTGCATACTCATTGTGTCATAACATGTCTGCTTGTCTACTTGTTGTTATGTTAGGTAATGAACGTCAAGGAGAACAAATTTAAGTTCTGTTTGTTGTTTTGTCTTTGTGGAAGTTGGAATAACCCCACTGCTCTTGTGGGAGACCTGTTTGAACGATACTTATAACCACTGGTGATCGTCGCCAATCGCTGAAGTTTTTATACACCACGTTTTTTTTTCCGGTTCTCATCATCAGACTTATGAGTTGAATAAGGTCCTGCGACTAGGTGGCAAAGGTCAGCTACCTTGTTTAATACGGAAAGGGTTGTCTTAGATCATTGTCAGCGTTATAATAGTTTACCCTATGAAATAAAGACTAAGCTTTAATTTCCACTAACACTTACTACAAAAAATTGGGACTTACCCCAAATTTTAGGTTGACTCCATCAACCTTGTTCAAGGAATGGACTCGTCTACTCTTGGAACGTGACGTCAGAGACACGTGACCGTAGTAGCGGGTCATACGTGCCAGATAACTTGTGTCGCCCCCCGTCTCTGTTCAGGGTAGGTCTGTGAGCTCTTACGTAGACCGCCTCCTTCACTGCTCTTGCAATGAAGTCCGATTCAGAATCGAGGATTTTAACCCCTTCTAGAGATACTGAGTGTCCCGGAGATGTACCAACTCAGATAAATTTTCATGATACTTTAGCCTAGTTGGAAATCCCACGACATCAAAATGGAACGACGACCTGTGAATATAACCGTATCACGTATATAACACCGTCCATGATACATTGTTAGGTTTCTGAGGAGGCATATTTATCAATTCCTATATTTTATTGTTTAAAGTTAAAACTTTTGGTCCAACACAAAAAAGTTCTCTCACCTATAGCTTTCGACCAGTCACTCTGGTCTTCCTCAGTAGACTAGACCCAGTGAAGCTTGTCACGTGGCTTCTTTGAAGTGTGACATCAACACTGGGTCAAAGGTATCTGGTAGACGATGTCGGCCCCCGTCGCGGTTAAGTGAAGGTGGTGGGCCCTGATGTATGTAGCCTCCTTCACCCCTCTCAAGAAATAGTCTTGTCCAGTGTCCAAAATCCTTACAGTGTCTATTTTTTATTGTTTTTGATGATGAAGATGAATTTAGATTGTCAAACTTCAGCGATTGGTGAATTTTCATGAACATACTTTAAAAGTAGATTTTCTATCTAAACTTTCCGTTCGCTTTTTGCAATAACCGATTCATGTTAATTAAAATTTTATATATCCTCGTGGAAAATTAAGAATATATTTTAAGACGAGAGAATATATTGTGTTGAATAAGGAAAATAAGAAATGGTGCTCATTGTAATTAAGGGCTATAATGCAATATGTGTACTGAAGCTAGCCCTGGTGTCTGAATACTACTAAAAACGCGCTGTAAATATATCTTACTGTACAGCACACTTGTGCGTCGACTTTGTGTATGATTTGTTACGTTGACCGGGGATAACGTCACTGGGCTCATGTTGTTGTAGCAGCGCTTTAGGCCACAGCAAGTAATTTTTATGGATGACATCAGCGCGCGCATTAATTTTCGTCTGATTTTGGAGAAAAAAAACAAGAAATTTTGTTGCCTTCTGACAGTGGTCAACATGCCGAAAATGGGCAAATATGTCTGTCGCCATGCCGGAAGGTGGATGACAGATAAATATGGAGAGAGGAGACAAGAAAAGGCTCTGATTTAATGTTTTGTTTCTTACTTTGATGCAGTGATATGTTATGCTGGCTGTGTGTATGTGATGTTCCTACGGAATCAAAATCATTTGTACAATGATTAAGTCAAAATTTTGAATTGTAGGAACCTTGTTATTTTTCGGCCCGCCTTTTTTTGCCCGCTCGCATTAGATTTGGAATCTGCGGAGGACGTCATCCATACAATTTACTTGCTGTTGCCTTAGTATCACGGAAATAGCGGGGGAAGCAAAATATAACCGGCGGGACGGCGTGCTATGCGCAGTTGTACTGGATACCAGGAGAATCAGTGGTCGTCTCAACAATACAGAGTGCTCTCTACGCAGTATCACCTTCGTTAAGGGGAGTGGGGGACTTTACGGAATATGTTTGTCCTGTTACAATGCTATGCTATGTACCGCATTTTGTGAGGGTGCGACCTATATGTGTACCATGGAAATATTTCAATAAATGACGCTTTATTTTGTGAAAAGACTACTCTTTTCCTTTCTACGTAACGCAGAAACTAAGACCTGATGCTTTTAAATTAAATCGATTCCATGTGTTGGTTGTCTCCAATATATATATAT